CCCATGGTTCTCCATGGGTAAAGAAATGATGGCATTTCTTTGATTTTCCACTTGTATCTGGATTTCATTGTGTTATGCTGGTGTAGCACATAAGTTTGCTGTAAGTTGCGTGTCCAGGCAGCATCCTAGTAAGACCTATGCAATCCCTCAGAGAACCCAGACCTGGCCTGGATCTGTTGCAACTGGGGGACAGGTACCCTTCCCTTCCCCCAATCTAGCCTGGCCTCCTACATGCCACAGCATCCCTCCTCTGGCCCCAAACCAGCCTTCCCCATAACTGTTGCAGCTGGGAGAGAGCTGCTGCAGGAAAAAGAGCTGGGGGATGGAGTCCTCTCTCACTACTGTAGCCCCACAGCAGCCTGTATCTCAGGCTGTGTCTATACTACAGTCATCTATCAGAAAAAGGTACACAAATTGTGTTCCACAATTTGCATACCTTTTTCCGATTATTTTTCAGAAGAGGCTTTTCTGAAATTTGGCCCATCTACACTGGGCCAAATTTCACAAACGCCTCCTCTTTTGGCAGAGCCCTTCTTCTCGTGGGAGGAGGAAGACAGGGCTTCTGAAAGAGCGCGACTGCTTTTCCGCCAAAAAATAAAAATAAAAAAATGGAAGGGCAGATGCATTCCCTGGATGCGGCGGAGTTTTTCTGGGATACCTCTGAAAAAACCCCATAGAGTAGACATAGGCTCAGACTCTTCATCCTCGGCCCTGCTCCAGAGCTCACACCCCTCAGCTGGAACCCTTATACCCCAGCATCCCAACTCTCTGCCCCAGCTCTGAATCCCTCATCTACCTGGTCCCAAGCCTACATCCTTTGTGCTGTACCCAGCCCTTCTCCTTCTCCCATACCCTGAACATCTCAGTTCTACCTCCACCATATGCATTTTGCTATGTCCAGCAATATGGAGGTGCGTGACACTTAACCTCCATATTGGTGCATCCATAACAAAATTAATTTCACACATATGTGGGAAAAATTAGAGGGAACACTGCTTAGCACTTACTAGGGCTTCATAATGTTTGTCATTTACTTGAATTGAAATGTTATCACATGGAAATTGAGAAATAATAATAAATAACAGTAGCAAAACTTCACATTTATTCACTTTTTTCCTGAATATCTCAAAATGATGAATGATCTGTATAATTATTCCTGTTGACAGAAGGAAAAGGATATAATGGTGAAGTGATTTGACCAAATTTATAAAGCCAGTCAGTGGCAGAATCCTATGACTTTTCATTTATTAGGCAGATATATTTTTAAAATATGCCTGTGCCTTTTCAAACTAGTCAAGGAGCAGGGAGAAAGGATATGTACATCAAGCATATTTAAAAAAAGAAACCAATACATAATAGCAACCTGGGAGGATGAGGGTAGATCATGATGAAATCTGCAGCAATCATCTTCTCAGCTTCCTTCCCCACCCACCACTCCCTGAGCCTGCTTGTGTCAATGAATTTGAAAAACATGCTGCAGAAACTCCCAGTCCTGCTATTGGATCTGCCAGATACACTTCTGCATTCCTGTTGGTAGAGCAAAGAGTGAATTGCCGGGAGAAAGAAGAGTGAACTAGCTTTGCAATCAGTGTGGCTGAGCCTGGGAGGTGGGGTGAGAGCCTGCAGAGGATATGCTACCTATGTTGCTGTTGGCTGGTGGGTGAGGGGAGAAGAGTAAGCCAAGGGATGTGAGCTGACTGCTCACCTTCGTGTTTTGCATTTGTTTCTGTAGTTCTGTTCTTGCTGATAATGGCACCAAGAGCTCTGATTCTAAACCAGCTCCTCCTGAATTCAGCCAGGGGCAAGCAGCAGTTTGCATGGGCTGGACAAGGCTTATCAAGCACAACAAAAGACCCAGGCTTGATCTTGTGTTGTGCTTTATAGGCCTGCATTCTTATTACTCCACTGAGTAATAGGGAGTTGGAAAGGAGTAAACAAAGAGCTGCTTCTCTCAACCTGCAAGCAGGATTCTGAGCCACCTAGGCTAGACCTCATGCAAGCCCTAGTCTCTGTTTGCACCTGGCATGTTTTTCAACTCTCCTAATCAGGTCAGAGTATCTGAAGACGGGGAACTAGTCATTATCCATGTACAAAGATGTTGTACACTGTTTCATCATAAACCTTCTTAATGTGGCCCCTCCATAAACAGGAGGCAAGACAGAATTGAATCCTATGGATTTTCATATGAGAGTGCCATTGAATAGATCAACAAAGGCCCAAAACTAACCTCTAGGTTCACTTACAAAGAAAAGACTTGAATAACTCCATCTGCTACTACTATGCAGAGACTGGGGATCCTGTTGGAGACCTTTTTTCTTTGCTGCAGGACTTCCTCAGGAGCCCTGTTGCCTCTGGAGGACTTACACAAAGCTATCTGTGGAAGGGAGCATTCACTGCCAATCACAGTTTTAGTTGGAAGCCTATTGGGTCAGTAAGGGATGGTGTCCTGGAAAATGGCTGATCCTCTCTTCCACCTCCTTCCCCTGAGGAGCATCTTTCCCAACCTGCTCTTCAAACACTATTTATTTATTTATTATATAAAGTGTGGTTGCTCCCTTCCTGGGGTTTGCATTTATTATCAAGGAAACAACAATAAAGTAATATGAGGATTAGCTCAGATCTTCCCCCCCAGACTTGGCCCTGCTTAGGGTTACTCTCTCTCAGAACTGCTCATCCACACCCTAGCTCACCCTGAAAAGTTTGGAGACCCCTGCTTTATAGCAAGTGGGATATGAGTTCCCTGCTGTAGGGCGTCTGCAGAACTGCTGTAACACCATCACAACAGAAATGCTAGCTGCTAACAGAGTTAAGGGGGGTCAGTCTGTTACAATTCTAAGCAGAGCTCTGACAGAGGAGCATAAATGGGTCGGCAGAGGAAGGGAAACTGTAGGGAGACCGCAGTTGCTCCTTTGTGCTCCCTCCACGGCTAGTTTGCTGGCTAAGGGCCCTTTCTGCTCATGTAAGCAGAGGGGAGGAGCATGTGCTAACTCATGTTATTTATGGTACATAGCAATGTGGCAAAGTGAATTTTAGAGAAAGGGAGAGGCTTATGTCACAGCACAGCTGTGAGAATCTAAACAAAATCTGTCTTTTTAAAAGAAAAAAAAATCTATTTGTCTCCAGGCCACAGTAGAGGCTATAGGGCTGGAGATGGAGATATATGTCAAATGGACACCCACAAAATTCATACAGGTAGTTTTTATTATAACCAAACTGCAAAATGACACACTAAAGGTATGTTGTATTAATAGATTTCTAAAACACTTCCCATCATGGCTTAATACTGCATTTAAATATTTACAGGTACTGTGAGCTTACAAACTGGGCTAAGAGGCCTGAAGGTTTCTCAGTTCTTTCTGTTGAATATTTTTAAATGGGGTTTTGCACTCTGGTATGGGCTTTTCAGAGTGAGTTTTGTGGAAAGCAGCTCATAACAATGTCTCAAAGTCATAGAAATCTGTGCCATGAAAATATTTTGTTGTAAACAAACAGCTTTGCAGAATGAGATATTTATTTGCAGTGTATGTACATTTGGGATGCCTCCTGATCTCTTGGGTACCTAATTGCTGCTCCTTTTCTCCTGTCATGTAGTGTCTTTCTCTACATTTATTATTAAACTAAATGTATTTTAACAAATGCCTTCCAAGTTTCATGGCTACATTAAGGAACAGAGGAACGAGCAATAAGCCACTCCATTTTAAATGACTGATCTATCTCCCCACTCCTCTCATGGGGAACAGGACTCAGAAAGGAGACAGGGAAGAGGTGGACACCTATGATGCACCCGGGAAGCAGTGCACTCCACAGTAGTGGACACAGTAGTCTGCTCACCCTGCTCATCTTTGAGGAAAGATCGACACAGGAAAATCGGCATCTCAGTAAGGTGCAACCTCACTGGGATTCCTATGGCACAGCAATCTGCACTGCTGCCTACTCAAGGGTGCAGTAAAAAAGCTACAATCCAGCCTTTATGCAGCATCTCATCATCACTTGTTTTCCTTCACTTGGGGATGAAATTAGTCTAGGGTTAGAGCATGAGAATGTGAGCCAGTAGTCCTGGATTCTTTTTCTGGATATACTTAATGGCAGGCATGGGCCTTTCATCCCTTCTAGAAATCGGCAGGAACAGCATTTTCAAAAATATCTACCTCTTTCTCCATGAGCAAGTGGTTGGGGAGTGCATGGAGCCAGGGTTCCACACACCTCAGCACATACCCATCAGCGAAAAGGAGTGTAGTAAATGTATTACTTTTCACCCAGTCCAGGAAGTAAGGGTATGTCTACACTACCACCCTAGTTCGAACTAGGGTGGTTAATGTAGGCAACCGGAGTTGCAAATGAAGCCCAGGATTTGACTTTCCTGGGCTTCATTTGCATATTGCCGGGCGCTGCCATTTTTAAATGTCCGCTAGTTCGGACTCCGTGCCCGCGGTTACACGTGGCACGAACTAGGTAGTTCAGATTAGGCTTCCTATTCCGAACTACCGTTACTCTTCGTGGAAGGAGGTGTACCGGTAGTTTGGAATAGGAAGCCTAATCCGAACTACCTAGTTCGTGCCACGTGTAGCCGCGGACACGGAGTCCGAACTAGCGGACATTTAAAAATGGCAGCGCCCGGCAATATTGTCTACACTACCACCCTAGTTCGAACTAGGGTGGTAGTGTAGACATACCCTGTCTGTCTGCTTCTTCCTGTACTGAGACCACCGTCTCAGCCTATTCTCTCCATGCTGAACCTGCTAAAAAGGCATACAGTTGGCCTATAAATTATAATGATGTAGCCATATAAATGAGTTTTCAAAATGCAAAGGAAAAATATGGGGGGTACCATTGTTGTCATGTGTGGGTATTTCCTTTTCACTGATAATCCTTTGGAAGTCTGTAGGTAAATCTATACAGTTTTATGGTCTTGTGATATGTAAAATGCTATTCATTTTGATGTGTGATTTGCTTTAATAGAACACTTGTACCTAATTAACACCTGTTTTTTTTATTTTCAGAACAAATTATGACATCAACATCCAAAGGAATTTTCCGGCCATTTTTAATTATCTTCATTGTGCTGGGTTGTTTCATGGCATTTTTGCTTATTTACATCAAACCAACAAACAGTTGGATCGCTGGTCCCATAGAATCAGCCAGCTCCGTTCTGAAAATGAAGAACTTCTTTTCTACCAAAAGCGATTATTTTAATGAAACAACGGTACTGATCTGGGTTTGGCCATTTGGTCAGACATTTGAGCTTACATCCTGTCAAACAATGTTCAACATCCAGGGGTGCCATCTAACTATTGACCGCTCGCTATATAACCGATCTCATGCCGTCCTTATTCACCACAGAGATATCAGCTGGGATCTCACTAATTTACCTCAGCAAGCTAGGCCGCCATTTCAGAAGTGGATTTGGATGAACTTGGAGTCTCCAACTCACACGCCACAAAAAAGTGGCATTGAACACCTGTTCAACCTGACCCTGACTTATCGGCGTGATTCAGATATTCAAGTGCCTTATGGCTTCATGAAGGTTAGCACAAGCCCCTTTACCTTTGAAGTGCCGAGCAAAGAGAAATTAGTGTGTTGGGTCGTAAGTAACTGGAACCCCGAGCATGCTCGAGTAAAGTACTATAATGAGCTAAGCAAATATACCGAAATCCATACCTATGGGCAAGCATTTGGAGACTATGTGAATGATAAAAACTTGATTCCAACTATCTCTACTTGTAAATTTTACCTGTCCTTTGAAAACTCAATTCACAAAGATTATATTACTGAAAAACTTTACAATGCTTTTTTGGCTGGATCTGTACCAGTTGTATTGGGCCCATCCAGAGAAAACTATGAGAATTATATTCCAGCAGATTCTTTCATTCATGTGGAAGATTTCCTTTCACCAAGAGAGTTAGCTGAGTATCTTCTGATGCTTGACAAAAATAATAAGATGTACCTTAGTTACTTTAACTGGAGGAAGGACTTCTCAGTGCATCTTCCTCGGTTCTGGGAATCACATGCATGCCTTGCTTGTGACCATGTAAAGAGACACCAGGAGTACAGGTCCATTGGAAATTTAGAAAAATGGTTTTGGAATTAAACTTTTTAACTTTTTGTGCACTTTTTCAAAGACACTGACATAATCTGTAGTTCCAGTGGAAGTGAGAAGAAAGGAGAAAAAAAATCTGTGTTTTATGTCACAGTTTATCAGTATCTTATTTATGTTTGTCAGAGATTTTAAAAACTCAACATCAGCGGTCATCTATACTCAGTTTTAAATTATACTGTATATAGGTAATTATGTGCACTGAAGAATGATTTATTGTTTACTTTATTTTTTTTTCAAGGGTTTTTCACACTTTCAGTAGAATGTATGTCTCAGTCTTACACATGATGTAGTGATTTTTAATATGGTGTTTTTAAAACTTAGATTAGCTATTTAACCTGCTCAGAAAATGAAGACACAGATTTTATCATAGAGAATTTTAATGAAATAGTCTACTGGTTTAGTTTGCAATTTGTGTAATATTTCAAAAGACAATGTTTGTCATGTTTTAATTTCTGCCCTCTTAAATTCTAACAACAGTGTAGAATTGAATACACTGCATTAATTCATGTGGTACCTGTTTATAAGGTATGTGGATTTAGAAAAATATAAATAAGCTTTAAAAAGTTATCCCAATAGAAGAGAGCCTTTGATTTCTAAATAGAAAAAATGTATTCCTCTTATGGTTAGTTGCCCGAAGATACCTTGGAAATATATGGATTTGCTCTAGTCTTCTTAAAATAGAATATTGAAGAATTGAGAAAAATTAATAGTAATGTTTGAAGGTAAAATTTGAAACCCTGATTGGCCAACTGTTTAAGTACATACTTAACTTTAACTTAAGCATGTGCTTACTTGAATCAGGGTTACAAGTAATGTTACTTTAAATACAGTTAAATACATTTCAATACAGGTTGGACTTCTATAATCCAGACTTCCCTCCTCTGGCAACATCCATGGTCCAGCAACTGAGGGTTCACCGGGGCTAGAGCGCTCACAGGGAAACACTGGGAGCCCTGCACTCAGCAACACCTCCCCCACCTTCTCAAAGCTACTGAAGCACCACAAATCACTCATTTGCAGTGTTCAAGATCAAGGTGGGTGGAGAAGCTGCAGAGACAGAAAGGAGGGCGGGCTACTCTGCGGAACAGCAGCGGGGCAGCACTGACCTCTCCTGATTCGGGACTGGTAGGCTCCTAAGGGTGCTGGACCAAAGAGGTTCAACCTGTATACTTATTTGATCACACTCATCTTTATAACTAGATGCTCAGCTCTTTTTTTTCTTTCTTTCATAAGACTTTCCTATTCGTGGCCAGTGGTGCTTACAGCCTTTTTCCAAAATTCATGATTGTACTTCAAGCTATCATGCAGGTTGGTCTCTATGATCTATGTTCCAAACCTTTAATCTCCTTCTTGGTTGTTTTCTATCCACAATCACTGCAAGAGATATCATACAGATATAGTACAATCTCCACTGCATATGCCTATTGTTCAAAAAAAAATTGGGAAGATTTGGCACTTTTTTATATTTCTGAATATTTGTGAATTATTCACCCAATTCTATAAAGGGCTGTTGAACTTTGATTGAACTTTAATTACAGCTGGATAGCATCATGAAGTGGGTGTATGATGTGAACAAATATTGGTTAAATATTGAATTAGAAAATATAGTGAAATTAATCATATACATTAGATTAGTACTATTCAACCATAGATTCATGGAGGTTCCATCAAAGGCTACTGGCCAGGATGGGTAGGAATGGTATCCCTAGCCTCTGTTTCTCCAGAGTTCAGAGATGGGAGGGATCACGTGAGGGTTATCTGTTGTATCCCCTCCTTCTGGGGCATCTGGCATTGGCCACTGTCAGCAGACAGGATACTGGGCTGGATGGACCATTGGTCTGACCCAGTATGGCTGTTCTTAACCAGCTCTAGTTAGAACAAAGGCTCAATTTGGTGTTAGGATGGCTTTTCCTGTTTTGAAAGTATGTAACGTGAAAACTGTTTTAAAACTCTACCCATCAGAACAAATGATATGATCAAGATTTGAATATAAATATGTTCATAGCATTATGTGTGCTCTCATAGCAAATTCTGAAATGCAATTTTGTCATTATGGGCTTTTAATGTGTCTGTTAGTATGTGCATTATTTGGATTCATTGTGCTATAACCTCAGCAACAAAGATTAGCCCCTCCCCCCAATACTATAGATAACTATAGATGTGGTGGTTTAATAATGTATACTGTATGTATTTTGTGGTAAGAAAAAGCCACTGTACATAGTTCTTGATGGCAACATGTGCTTATCACCCACAGCTCCCACTGACTTGTAGGCAACTCTCTGAATCAAGCCCCTTTATTTTGGTGATCCGAATCAGATTTGAACGTGTACATCCTTTTCTGAATATACTAACTGAATAAGATATAATGTAGTATAAGCACCTGAAAAGAAATAGTTATTGAGGGAAAATTTGAGGGAAAATATTCAAGGCCCAGATTCTTAACTGGTGTAGATCAGCATAGTTGCATTGACAGCTAGAGATTGCAGATCTGGTCCAAAGTTAACATCCTTAAATGAAAGTAAATCAAAGGCAGAAATTTTGGACTATGCCTAAACAAAATGGCAGCACATCCCTTAAGATTTAGTTTAATCTAAAGAATATTTATTCAGCAGCTGAAATAAAACAAGAAGAAGGAAGCCAATATTTAGAAAAGGAAGAAAATACTAACCCTTATATTAGGAAAAAGTACAGCTTGAATAATATTTAAGGCTCTGATGCAGTAAAGCACTTAAGGGTGCATTTAGTTATAAGAGAAAGTATAAGTGCTTTGCTGGAGTGGGGCCTCTCCCAGAAGTTGATGGTAAACATGGGGGCTACGTCTACACTGGCCCCTTTTCCGGAAGGGGCATGTAAATTTCATGAGTCGTAGTAGGGAAATGCGCGGGGGATTTAAATATCCCCCGCGGCATTTAAATAAAACTGTCCGCCGCTTTTTTCCGGCTTTTAAAAAAGCCGGAAAAGAGCGTCTACACTGGCCCCGATCCTCCGGAAAAAGCGCCCTTTTCCGGAGGATCGGGGCCAGTGTAGACGCTCTTTTCCGGCTTTTTTAAAAGCCGGAAAAAAGCGGCGGACATTTTTATTTAAATGCCGCGGGGGATATTTAAATCCCCCGCGGATTTCCCTACGACGACTGGTGAAATTTACATGCCCCTCCCGGAAAAGGGGCCAGTGTAGAAATGATATGAATGGTGTTAAAGAACTGTAGATTTAAGAACATGACACGGAACCCTGAATGAATGTATTATAGAACTATGGACTAGACTTGATTTTTATGTAACAGTTCAAACATTGCTTTAATGATTGAAACATTTAATTGCACCCATTTTTTGCTAAGTCTTAAAAGTTTTACTTACAGCATACTGTGAATCTCCTAAATTCACCAGCACTTCAGAATGAAATATAAAGGGACAGTTCATGATGTGCATTAATCTGATAGAATGAAATTCAATCTTTGAAAAAAGTTACTATCTAAAAAAGAGAACTCACCCATGTGTAAAATATACGGGTGGTATTTCTATATTGTGTATAGTTTACTATTAAAAGGTAAAATCCAGAATGCTTTCTCATCTTTTTTTTCCCTTCAGGAAGCAAGTAAATTCACAGAATTTTAAAGTGCCATATTGTTTTGAAGTAATCTGTGACCTGATCCAGCTGATTCTGAAGTTTGAGAGTCTTTGTATCGACTGGTTCAGTGCCTTGGTGAACTGTACATAGTTTTTCTTTCAGCTAAGTTAAGCTGTCTTGCATGTTAAAAGCCATTACATCAACTCAAAAGTAGTCCCGGGTTTTAAGATTCAGCTGATGTACTTGTCATATTAATAACAAGAAGCCATAATGATGAGACAAGAAGGTAGATGGTTTGTTGCGACAGAAACCATTCGGCACCCATCTTGCAAGGCACATAACCATATGCTTAACTTTAAGCATGTGAATATTGCCATCACTCAGAGTTGGATCCAGATCAGTGGGACTATTCTGATACTTAAAGTTAAGAATGTGTTGAAGTGTTTTGCTGAATCAGGACCTAAATTGGTATCATCTGTGTATTTTCATGCAATCATTCACGTTCAGATTAGGTTTCAACCAGTAAGTGTTAGAAAATCAGAGAGAAACCTAACCAAGACCTAAATGAGGTTAGGTCTACACTACAAAGAAAAGTTGGAAAAAAATACGCAAAATTGTGGTTCGCAATGTACTTATTTTTTTCTGCTTTTTTTCCCTAAAGAGTCTTTTCTGAAATTTGGCCCATCTGCACAGGGCCAAATTTTGGAAAAACCTCCTCTTTCAACACATTCCTTCTTCCTCATACAACGAGGATTATAGGGATGGCAAAAGAATGCATCCGCTTTTTCGGAAATTGTTCCGCAAAAAGCAGATGTGTTCTTTGGATGCGGCATAGTTTAGGTATCCTCGAAAAGCTCTGCAGTCTAGACATAGCTTGAGCCAAAAATTACATATAAGTCTTTAAAAAGTGACTCTATCCTAATACATTGCCAACTCTGCTGAAAGGTGAGACTGGGGCTTTGTCCCCACTTAAGTGCAACTTCTGCAGTGGTTTAAAGTGAAAGTGTGGCTATGGCAGGAGCATAGCGCTCTATGTAAACTACCTCCACAAGATTCAGAGGGGTAGCTGTGTTAGTCTGTAACAAAAAACTTTGAAAACAGCAAGTAGTCCTGCAGCACCTTAGAGACTAACAAAAATGTAGATGGTATCATGAGCTTTTGTGAGCACAGACCACTTCTTCAGACTTCTATAAGGGCAGTAGCTAACAGCATGGGGAGCCTGTTTATTTTAGTGCTTTGCAGTGTTGCAATTTGTTGCACTCAGGGAGAGAGATGCTTTTTCACACCCCTGAGCCAGAAAGTTGCAGCGCAGTAAAGTGGCAGTGTAGACTTAGCCTGGGACATAAAGGAACCAGACAACTCAGAAAGAACACAAAGGAGCATGCAGTTTCCCTACTCTCACACCTTAAATCATGGGGAAATAGATCACCATTTAACTCTAAAGAGATAGTTTCAGGCAAGAGGATTGAGCAAACAGGAAGGAGGGTCTCAGGCTAGAAAAGCCCAGCCTCATACTCTTCTGAGGGTTTAAAATGCTTGAAAGCTTAATAGTTTTACAGAACTTGACTCTTACCTTATCAAAATGCTCTACAATAGGTTCAGGGGCTTCTGTTACACTGCAGACCATCAACTCTTTGAGTCAGGCACTGTCTATAGCAGTCTATGTATTGTATGCTGCTGTGCACATTATTGCTATTTAACAAGTAGCTGGTCCTATTTCACAATTACAACCATAGAGTTTGTTAACATAGCTTCCTGATGACCTAATAATTTTACCTCAGGAAAAGTACCAAGTTGTGCTAATGAGAGTTCTGGTCACAAAGAGATCTCAAAATCAGGCACAATTGATTTGCTTGGTGGCAGGAGGCTTTTTGCTCTGTCCATTAAAAATAATTGCATATATAATTGTATGCAGTTTGGTGTTATTGTTTTAAATAAGATCTTGCCCAAATGCATGTGGTGGCTATGAGTCTTGATCACCAGGGGTGCTGCACTAATTTGCTTAGTTCTTTTCCTTTGTGCTCATTCCTGGCAGTGGAAAAAAAATTGATGAATTGGTCTCTTTTCTGTTTCTTTTGAATGTACGTTGTCAAGAATTCTCATGTGGAGGAAATTTCTTTTGGTCACTTGTTTTTCAAGGGATTGGCTAACCAGGTTATTTTTAAAAAGCAATGTTTTCTCCTCTTATTGAATTACTGCTATCAGAAACACTCTATCCTTTGAGAAGATTTATAGAATTCTCTGCCTGCTAAGTTACCATACCAAAGGGCCAGAGTTAGACTGGCAGCACATGGTAGGATGTGTGTCAATAAACCAAAACTATTTAATAATGTACATTTTCTTTTAATTAACAATAATAACAAATTTTCATGACCATTTTCTGGATCTTTTTCTTTCTTTCCTTCTTTCTTTGTTGCTCACATTTTTCTTTATTCCTCATAACATGAAAATTCGGCTTCAAATCAGGTTTAGCACTTTGTAAAAACTTGTCAACAAATTAAAATGAGCTAAGGAGCATACTTGTGCTGCTAGTGCATCTGCTCTAGCCATTGTTGTATTCAGTCCCACTAGCACTGTTTGACATCTCAGCCTGAATAGGATAGTCTAAGAGTTAAATCATGTGCTGATTAAAGCTAATGAAAATTCTGTCATTGACTTCTAAGAGGTTGGGATCAGAAATATTTCTTCCTAATGTCATGACTGGTGACAGCCAATTCTGTTCTCATGGAAAAATGCATATGCAGAAGGCATCACTACTGATGCCTTGGCTTTCAAATAATAGCAGCATTTTTGGGGTGGTGGATCTTGACTTTTGCAAATGAAAACTTTTACTTACAAGCAATGTTCATTACTCTAAAGCATTGCTTCCGAGAAACTAGTCAAAAAATGTTATAATTAGTATTTTCTATTTAACAATGCTGTAGAAAACGAAAGGGAGTTTTTCAATTGAATAATGGAGTTTTTGATTTGTTGGTGATTCTGAAAAATTGAAAAAAAATAGTTTCAGGTTACACCAAAAATTAAATTTTTCAGCAAATAACAAAGCTGAAAAAAATTATGTAGCATTGAATAAAACATGTCATTTAAATGTTAAGTATTTAACATTTTTTTTAAATTTTAAAATAACATTGAAGGAAATGTTGAAACAAAAAGCCCTTTTGAGCCCCAAAAAATGAAAC